GATATGCAGTTCAATTACAGTTGACATAATTGTGAGATCCTAAAAACTTTGCTACCATCTTTGGGACTATCTAATGGTGATAAGATAAAGATACACAATTTGACATCAATCCCAACTCCTTGTACCATCAAAAGGAAAAAAAGTATAAGAAACTGTGAAACAACACAGATAAAAACTCATCTTTTATGCAGAAGAGTATTAAAGTGAAATTAGTATGTTATCAAATTACAGTAGAAAATTTAACTTTTTCAAAATGATATTCACTGAACTACCTCTCTTTCCTGATCCATATAACCAAGCTAGATATAGATGTAACTTAGCTACCCACTTCAATTTATATCTCTGGATTTGTGTAAAATTAAAACATTTCAATTTCATTAAAAAATCACTTGATTCAATTTACATAGCTATTATTATTTGAAAAACCAAATGTTAGCCATAATGGATATCTTACTTATTTGATATACAAAATATACAACATAATTATTTTTATGTGGAATCGAATTTGGAATTTCCCTACATTTCATATTTAGTAAACTAATTTATTATAAGAACAATGATTTTTTTCTTTTTAAAACTACCTCGTTTAAAAAATTCTGATTTACAAGTCATTATTGCCATCTGCTGGTCACTTTGTTTCATTGCATTTGTTGGGTTACCAATTGCTTTAATAAAAGAGAAAACCGATGAATTTTAGATACAAACTGAATTAGAAATCTCTATGTAAGAGAAATCATTTGCTAAATCACGAGGCATCTTCACTTTAAATAGGAAACAATATTCAAGAATATATTGTATTATATCAAATTATAATGTGTTATTTTCATTGTCAGTTCATCACAGAATAAGTATCAGGCATACTGGTTTAAGTTATTGTCATTAATAAGCATGTAGCTAAAATACAACTCAAATAACTGTTCAAAATAACTAGGTAAAATAAGTGACTGCTGTTGGAAGCTGTAGAAGGATGAAAATGTGCCCTGATTGTATTCAACTGAATAAAACTAAGTGCCATGTTTTCCTTCACATATACAAATCTATTCCTCTTCTTAAAAAGAAAATGCATGATTATTTATGTAGCCATCTCTCAGTTTTTTTAAAGTTAACTAATGAAACTAGAACTCATATTACTGTTTAATAGAACTACAAAGAAATACAATTTAATGAAAAAGAATCCAGGTTAGCAAAATATTAATTGTAAGTAATACTACCAGTATACTTTCAATATGGTCAATCTAGAGCAAGATATAGGAACATTGTTTTTAAAATTAAGCATGTATTTTGTATTTGGTGCTTTAGCATTTTTCAGATGAGAAATAGTAGAGTGGCTAAGTTACTAGCTCGAGGTCACACCACAGTAATGTATGAGTCCTTTATGTGAAAGATTTAAAATGTTAATTATGTGTTTACTGTAAGCCAGAGTCATATATATCCTGCTTCTTGTATCTTAAACACTATATCATGAGTATTTTTCTGTATTATTGTTCATTCAAATGACTTTAGTCAATTTAAAGATGCTTCACTTATGAGTGTTCTATAATTTATTATTTGATGTTGAGATTATTTCTAATTTTCACTGATAGAAATAATAATACGATGAACATTCTTATAAAAAATTATTTTTTAAATGGTAAAAGTGACCAGATTTGTGCTTTCAAGGGCTAAGCCAAGGGTAAGAATATGCTTTATTCTGTTAGTACACTGAGTGATCCAAAAGGCAACTAGAAATTCCAGGACGGCAAGAAACAAATTGACCAAAAACCGTAGTATAGGAAAAAGGCAAAATACACTGAAGGGTAGGAAACCAAAATCAGAAAGTTCAGTTCAGAACTGTACAGGAAATTGGCACCCCAAATGACATCTGGTCAACATTCCAGTAGCAGCCACTCCTTCCTTCCCACAAAAATACCCATGCCTCATGAAAAATAAAAACATAAAGTGTATGAAATCACTTAAGTAATTTATTAACAAGGACCCTTAGATTATCTTTAAAATGTTCAATGACATATAGCTTAAAAGAAACACATCCATTAAAATCACATTGAGTTGAAGGATAAACAAAATCATCAGGCAATCTTTTTTTTTAAGAAGCACACATAGCCATATTAATATTAATTAAATTAAGCCATATTAATCATATTAATCAGGTAGAGTATAGAGTTCAGGCAACTTGAGATGTCTATAGGAAAATATAAATTTCCCAAGTGGACTCAAGAAGAGATAGACAATGTAAACAGATCAACAGTCATGAAGGAAACTGAAAGATAAAACAAAATATAAAGGTTCCCAAACCAGATGTTCTAATATAGACAGAAAGATGCAAATCCACCCCATTCATTATATGAATCTAATATAACTCTGATAAAAAAAATTCACAGGGTTCCACTTATTCTCAAAAATATTATAACACATAAAATAAGGTATTTTGAGTTTGCCTATTTATTCAATAACATTTTTTTCAACCACCCATAAATAACTTTTATCTTAAACTCCACATTGGACAATTTATTAGCTGTTAAAACTTGGGCAAATTACCGTAACCTTGATTCTCAGTTTTCTAATTTGTACAAAGGTATTGTATGAAGTAAACGAGAAAATATTTAAGCAGCAAACACAGTGCCAGAAATGTAGAAATGCTCTTTGAAAAAAACTTACAAAACAACAAATGAAAAATAGCAGTTATCGAATTTAAATAAGTAACAAGATGAGTACTATGGACAATAGTTGCTTTAGACCTTTAGAGAAGGGGGAATGAATGTGGGCTGGGGCTTGGAAGGTGAAAGGATTCAGATGGGAGGGAGAAACGCATGAAAAAGCCAGGGACTAGGGAATAATAGTTTTCTGGTATGAGTAAAGGGATGGTTATGGAGTTTCAGACTCTGGACCTTACTGAAAATTACTGGAAGAGTTGTGTCTAGAGAAGCGGAAAACTAAAGTTGAAAAATTGGGGCAGATTACTGAAGGCACAGACGAGCAAGCCAAGGAGTTTACAACTGCATTTGTGGGCTATGGAAACTGTGAACATTTTTGAAGGATGTCGTATCAGGAAAATTAATCTGACCATTATAAGCCTTAGTTATTAGATGGGGGAGGTGGGGATTAGGGAATTCAATCCGGTACAGGAGACAGATGGGAAGGGAAGCGCTGTGGACTCCAGGGGGGCTAGAGCGCGTGGAAGATGTTCATGAACCCTGCCCATCTTTGCCGGGGGCTATGGCATCATGTTTGGCTCCGCAGTGACTGTTGGGCTAGGTAGGGTCTGGGTTAGGAAGGTGAGAGCCCTGAGCACAAGGACCCTAGGCCCGAGGAAGTCTGTCTTAGCAACACCGTTGGGACACCTACCTGCGCTTGAGTAAATGAAGGGGAAACCTCATTTCTCCTGGAATCTACAGGCCAGGAGGGGGCGCTCCCTCACTACATCACTGGAGGTGAATTACAGACCCGCAACCCAACACTCAACCAGAAAGAATTCCTCAATCACAAGCTCCAACAGGAGGTGCACGTTTCACCTCCCACAACCACTTAAGCCCGCAACTCCGCCAATGGGAACTCCTCATCACTCTACACTTGTAAGGTTCTCCAATGGATCTTTGTTCAGAATAACCCCTCTCGACCGTCGCCTTCTCCTAAATTCCTCTCCCTTGTTGTACTGGCCTGTGTTATTCATTCATTCATTCATTCATTCATTCATTCATTCATTCATTCATGATAGACATAGAGAGAGAGAGAGGCAGAGACACAGGCAGAGGGAGAAGCAGGCTCCATGCACGGGAGCCCGACGTGGGACTCGATCCCGGGTCTCCAGGACCGCGCCCTGGGCCAAAGGCAGGCGCCAAACCGCTGAGCCACCCAGGGATCCCCTGGCCTGTGGTTTTGCCCACAACTTGCGCGTCCTGCATTGCCTTTCACTGCTATTCCTAAACAAACCGATTTTTGTTGTGGTTGTTGTTGTTTTTGGCCGATAAAAAGGAATTTTGATTTCAAGGTCACGTGCTTCCAGAATGGCTTCAATTAATGCTGCCGTCCAAGGGGAAACGCGGTATCGCTCAACCCCAGAGTGCCAACCTGAGGCCCTGGCTCAGCCCGCTCTGCCTCAAGCTGCCAATGGCCTTGGGCCCGTCCCTCGATGCAGGACACACGTAACGTCGATGCAAGTGTTCACAGGGGGGCGGGAGAGCTGTTCCCAAAGTGCGAGACGCACGCCTTTCTTCTCTCTCTCTCTCTCTCTCTCTCTCTCTTTAAATAAATATTTTATTCATTCAAGAGAGACACAGAGAGAAGGTAGAGACATAGGCTCCTTGCAGGGAGCCTGACGCGGGGCTCGATCCCAGAACTCTGGAATCACGCAGGCGCTCAACCGCTGAGCCACCCAGGCAGCCCCCCTCGCTCTCCTTCTATGGTCCTGTCAAGTAAGATCTCTTTCCCCTCTTCAATTGCTCCCAGACGTGCAAACTTTTGGTAAAAATAACACAGCTAAGGGCAGCCCGGATGGCTCAGCGGTTTAGCGCCGCCTGCAGCCCGGGGTGTGATCCTGGAGACCCGGGATCGAGTCCCGCATCGGGCTCCTTGCAGGGAGCCTGCTTCTCCCTCTGCCGTGTCTCTGCCTCTCTCTCTCTCTCTCTCTGTGTCTCTCATGAATAAATAAATAAAATCTTTAAAAAAAATAACAAAGCTCAGCGTGCACTCGAGAGAAAGAAAGAAAAATCGGAGAGCTCTTCCGACTGCCCGCCCCAGCCGGACGGGGGAGCCACGCGCGGCGCCGGAGGGCGGCCCCGAGGGTGCGCGGAGCGCGCGGGGCCGCGCGGGGGGAGGGGGCGGGGCCGGATCCCTCGGCCACGCCCCCGGCGTCCCGTCGCCATGACGACCAGGCCGCCCCGCAACGGCGGCGGGGACGAGTCGTTGAGGGTGGGAGTCGAGCGGGGCCCCTGCGGACCTCGCCCGACCGGGCTGGGCCGCGCCGCAGACACAGCCAGCGCCACCCGAGCAGGGACTATGAGAAAATGGTCGGGCAAACGCGAAGTAAGCTCAAGGAAGCGGCTCCCGAGCCGGCGCGCTCCTCCCGCGGCGCGCAGCCCGGGCGGCGGCGCCGGGCCACGGGAGCCGGGGAGCCCGAGATGGAGGAGCCGCCGGCGGAGGCGGAAAAGCCGCAGCCTCCTCTGCCCGTAGGCGGGGGCGGGAACCTGCCGGGGGGCTCCCGGGACTACTCGCCCTACTCGCCGAGGAGGCCCCGAAACCTGAACCCGCAGAACTGCATGCAAATGGAAGTGGTCGCCAAGACCCTTCTTGTCGGCCGCTTCCAGTTCCTGAGCTGTTTGCTGGAGCAGCTCCGCGACAGGGTGCAGCAGTTGCGGAGGCGCCAGGTGGGCAGCAGGACCTCCGTCGGCATAGGTGAGGCCCCAGGCCCCCCGCGCCCCGGGTCCCGCGGCGCTGCAGGGGTCCCCGGGGGGCCCAGCGGTTTAGCGCCGCCTGCAGCCCAGGGCGTGATCCTGGAGAGGAGGAAGAGCGGGTCCCAAAGTGCGAGGCGCACGCCTTTCTTCCCTGTCTCTCACTCTCTCTCTCTTTTTAAAAATAAATATTTTATTTATTCATGAGAGACAGAGGCAGGCCCCCTGCAGGGAGCCTGATGCGGGACTCGATCCCAGAACTCTGGAATCACGCCCTAGGTCAAAGGCAGGCGCTCAACCGCTGAGCCACCCAGGCAGCCCCCCTCGCTCTTTCTATGCTTCTGTCAACTAAGACCTCTTCACCCTTTTCATTGCTTCCAGACGTGCAAACTTTTGGTAAAAATAACACAGCTAAGGGCAGCCCGGGGGGCTCAGCGGTTTAGCGCGGCCTTCGGCCTTCGGCTCCCGGGCGTGATCCTGGAGACCCGGGATCGAGTCCCGCGTCGGGCTCCCTGCATGGAGCCCTGCTTTCCTGTGTCTCTGCCTTTCTCTCTCTGTGTGTGTCTCATGAATAGGTAAATGAAATCTTAAAAAAAAAAAAAATCAGTTGAACAAACAGGCTTAGCAGTCCTAATGACAAGGTCCAAGCCCCACGTGAGGGGTAGGGGGGGATCGCTGACCAGACTTCCAGTCCCCAATGGTTCTTGTTTTAAGACCCTTTCCAGGGTTTGGGGCCATAGTGATCACCCCTGTTGTGTCACCAACCAAGATGTCATTTCCGTTAAGGCAACCATTTACCACAGGTTGGAAGAATGCTGAGCTAGTTCTGGGGGGCAGACGTGTTCTCTTGCCCCTTATACTAAGGAAAGTGAAGTAAGTGTTGGTTTAACTGGCTGAGAATCTTTTATAGTGGAAATAGGGTCAGATTAGGTAATATGCTGCCCCAGGTCGGTACCCATTCATTCACTTTCATCTTGCTGTGGAACTTCACTGCCTAGATTTGGGGGACTTTTCTTCTTATGTCAGCACTTGAAAGCTTTCCTCTACATTCTTCATTTTCTGTTGTTTAAGAGTTAATTTAATTGTGTTGCTGTTTCAGTAGCATCAAATTGGAGTCTAGTCCTTGGTCAGACTGGCTACTGATATACCTTGAAACGTAGAGAAATGTCTGCTAATGGAAGGTGTCCTGATTTCTTTTCATCGTAAGCTGGCTGCTGATGTTAAAGACGAATGACTCTCCACATTTGGGGCGTTCCACATACCAGAGAAAAGACGGATGGGAATTCACATTTACATTTTATCAGATGTCTAATTCCAGTGACAGATAACATCCCACATCCAGAATCTGTGTGGTCTTGGATACCAGGCGGTTTGGGCGTCCCAAACACAGGCTCTTGAGCACCCATGTCTGGCACACTGAAAGCACTCAGTGGGTCCTGCGTGAAATAATGACTGAGTATATTTTTTTTTAATTTTTATTTATTTATGATAGTCACAGAGAGAGAGAGAGAGAGAGAGAGGCAGAGAGAGAAGCAGGCTCCATGCACCGGGAGCCCGACGTGGGATTCGATCCCGGGTCTCCAGGATCGCGCCCTGGGCCAAAGGCAGGCGCTAAACCGCTGCGCCACCCAGGGATCCCAATGACTGAGTATATTAACTGCTAGGAGAGTTCAGAAGAGCCAACTAATACTCTAGGATGGGAGGTGGGAAATGAAATCAGTGAAGTCTCTTAGGAAAAGGTGGGATTAGAATTGTGACATTAAGGCTAACATTTGGATGTGTGAGGCAGAGGACAACAAGCATTAGAGACTAGTAGAATGGCATAATTGAAGTCAAGGACGTAGGGCCGAAAGGAAGGGTACAAAAGAAAGAGAGAGGGAAGACATTTCAGAAGGTTCGCTGGGACCAGCAGTGGAGAGTCTAATTCAAGACTCAGTTTAAGGAATTTGAACTTCATTCTGTAGAAGACACTGGTTGATTCTTTAAGAAAAAAGATTTTTTTTTAAGGAGATGAAATGCACATCCTATAACAATTCTGTGGCATTTAGTACCCACAGTGTTAGCATTGAATACTTTTTAAATGCCGTGACGTGATTCACTTAACAGCAGTTTGTAAAATGGATTGGAGAGGGATGGAAAAAAGGAGCAGAAAAAAATAATTGAATCCTGGAACCCAGGCAATAGTGGGTCTTAATGGGGGTAGCAACAACAGGAATGGACAGGAGAGGACAGAGGTGAGAGTTAGTGAAAGCGTCTTATGAGGATTGGGGAGGTGGTGAGGTAGAAGGAAAGTGGGAGGACAGGGACAGAGAAAGTTGAGAGCAATTAGGATTATAGATTTGGGAATTATCCATGGAAAAGTGAGTTGAAACTTGAAGATTGAGATTCCCCCTGAGAGAAGAGTGGGCAAAGCAGAGATACTTGGGAAAACCTCTTATACTTAGTTTTAAGAGATAAGAGGAAAATGAAAAGCCAGATAAGCAAATAGAATGGTCAGAAACATGGAAGAACTGGAAGGGTTGATGTGATAAAAGACAAAGAAATCCAAGAATCTGGTCAGATGTTACAGAGGGGTTTGGAAAGTATAGGAGTTTAAAGAAGTCTTTGACGTTGCTAACTAAAATGTCATTGGTCATTTTTTAAAAAAAGGTTATGGGAACTTAGAAGAAAGAAGTTGGCCAAGAATCTCATTAGCAAATAGGGTTATGGGTAAGGAGAGAGAATATGTCATAGTTTGTAGGGCTGAAATGTTTTAAGGCCTAAGAGAATTGAAAGTTGAGAAGAAAGGTTGAGGGGAGAGGGTGAGATTCAGGTTCTAAGAGAGGAAATAGTTGATGGAGCAGTCTTGGAATGTTTGAGAAGGGTGGAATTAGAGGCACAAATTTGAGAAGCTAACTGAAAAAGAGAAGATATACTTGCAGGCAGCCAGGGTGGCTCCACGGTTTAGCGCCGCCTTCAGCCCAGGGCGTGATCCTGGAGACCCGGGATCGAGTCCCACGTCGGGCTCCCTGCATGGAGCCTGCTTCTTCCTCTCCCTCGGCCTGTGTCTCTGCCTCTCTCTCTCTTTCTCTCTGTGTCTCTCATTAATAAATAAATAAAATCTTTAAAAAAAAAGGAGAAATACTTCCTTTGCCAAGATGGTAGGGAATTGAAAAACGAGGATTAGTAGATAGAGAAATGTTAAAGTGGATATAAGAGAAGTTGGGAGTGCTTGCATCAGATGATCTCTGTTTCAGTGAAATAGAGAGGCCAGGTCACTTTCAGAGATGGGATTGACAGGATGCAGGGTCAGGAGACATGCTTTTAATCACATCTTTGGAAGAGGCTGTGATAAGCGCTTCATGCATTTTGAATATTGGAATCGTTACACTTTATCATTTTTTCACCTGCGGACTGTGGGGTGGAGGAGGGAATGAAAGACACAAGACTTTTGAGGAGTTTTGGAAGGCTAGATGGATTTGTTAGGATATTTGATCTTTTCCCTTTCCCTAAACATCAATTTTTAGAAGATTTTATTACACAGAGAGAGCGAGCAGGGGGAGGAGCGGACGGAGAGAGAGCAGCAGCCTCCTGCTGAGCAAGGAGCCTGACAGTGGGGCTGGACTTGGAGCTCAACATGGGGCTCGATCTGGGGACTCTGGGTTCAGCCTGAGCAGAAGGCAGATGCTTAACTGACTGAGCCACCCAGGACCCCCTCCTTAAACATTTTTCAGAGTTTTTGCCAGTATATGCAAATTGTCTAGAGAGTAAGAAAGAGAATAGAAGTACAGTTGAATGGAATAGTGTATGTGTCTTAATGAAGCCTTATCAAAGGGGCATCTGTTTCAGGCTGAGAAAAAAGATACAGGTTTAATTTCAAAGTGGTTCAGAGTGTATTACATATTAGAAAGAGCTAACATATGTAGTGAATATGAACTTTTTCCATGAAAATCCAGGTAGGAAATATTTTAGGCTTCACAGGCCACATATAGTCTCTGTTGCCTATTCTTCTTCCATGTTTATACAACACTTAAAAAATATAACAAGCATTTTTAGCTTGTGGACAGTCCAGAAAGACCATGGGCTATGGTTTGCTAATTGTGGCATAAAGCAAGCAAATCTTCTGAGAAGTATTGAAGAGTAGTAGGAATGAGTGTAGGATGGTTAGGAATATGGAGAACAAGAGCTGGAGAAGGATGATTGGGAATTTTTTTCAAAATTATAATTTGATGTTATTAATTTTATTGACTTACATTTATTTTGTTAGTCAAGGTGATTTCTTGAATTTTAACAAGGCTAAAGTGTGGTGGTTTGTTAAAATGACTTGCCAAGGACATTTGGGATAACCATACGAAGTACTATTATAAAATCTTGGAGGGGAGGCAGGACTTTAGGAATAGCTGAGTAAATGTACTTCTCTGTGATAGTAACAAGAATACTTGGAAAATTGTCAGAATCAACTTTTCAACACTTTATAAATTAACCAAAGGTTTGCAGCACTTTAAAGAGCATGTATTCAAAAACACTACTGCATTTGTGTAGGAACAGTGGGGTTTGTTGGCATTTTAATTTGGCCTCATCCCATGCCCCCTCCCCAGCTCTGTGGTATCCTTGAAAACAAGCAGCATCCCAGCCACCAGAGGGGCTGGGACAGTGCTGGGAGCCCCTCAGAAAGCCCCATGCCCACAGTAGTGTCGCTATTTGACTGGTCTCCACACTTTCTGTACTCACTGTATTCACACACAGAGTACAGGCAGGGCAACTCTAGATGAATCTCCGGGCCAGTAACCTGGGAGCAATCAAAACTTCATAAATAGGGGCTTTCAGGGGTGCTACTGAGGAGGCAATTGCCTGCATTTAGCAATTTCTGACGATCAAGGGGAAGTGATCTAGAGTGGCTCCTGTAGTAGGCTAGAGTCACTTCTGAAAAGACTGAGCTGAGAATAGTGTATATATGTAATAATTTTATGTAAGGAAATAGAGAATAAGAGGAAGAAGAGGGAATAAACTGAAAATCCCCCGAAAGCTCAAAATCATTAATAACTTCATCACTTTTTTTTTGCAAATTTTATAAATGCGACACAGTCTTCCAAGCCTCCTTTTGCTCCTAGAACCCCGTCCCCCCCCCACACACCGGGCAGAGAGAGGTAAGCACTATTCACAATTTGTTTTATGTCTGCTTGTAAATTTTTCCTATTTTATATAGATAGAATTATCTAGCCATCTTGCTTGTGTGTGTGTTCTCTCTTCAGACGTATAAGGGAATGCTCTTGAAATAGTTGTTTTAAAGGTATCATAATGCAGCTTTTAATGACTTTTTTGTTTGTTTTCCCAGCTGCCTTTGTGGGATTTTTGCACTGGTAAGATTTGTTTTAGTTTTAAATAAAATAAAAACATTTGAATTAAAAATTGACATTACTGTTTGCTCATAGTAAAACAATAACCACTTGCTATGTGTATAGAATATCTGTGCACAAGGTTACACATATATGTTATTTTTAAAAAACCGTATGTGAAGCAGCATTTACAACGTGGATGCATTAGAAGAATAGTTCTTGGGAATAAAAATATTTTTATGTTTCCAAAGGATCTGCCACAATATTTCTTAAATCTCCAGCTTTTCTAGTGTACTTTGCATGTTTATTTCATCTTAAAAAAACTTATTTTACAGTAACTGTGTGTTCCTAGTGACATAAACTTAGAGATAAAGTTTATGTGACACCTGCCATTTGGAAATCAGGTAGAAATGAAAACAAAGAGTCAGCTGTAGTGATAAGAATTAAATGAGCCTTTCAGGGGGCATGCACATGTACTTCACTTTATGTAAGTGATCTATTTGTAAAAATTATATGTCAAATAATATTTTTCCTCTGATGTGTTTTCATTTCTTCTTGAGCTCAGAAATCTTTATTCTTGGGAAGAGTGGGATTATATCTTTTGGGACAGTGCTGTTCTGGCCATTTAGTCTGCAGGGAGATTTTGATTTTAGAACTAAAGCTGTAATAGTAAGAAACATTTCCTATAGCTATTGGTACCCTGACATGTGTCTCACATGTGAATCAAAGTGAGTGGAAAACAGGGGTGATATATGGAATTTTGCTATTTATTTGGAAAGCATCTATATGTTAATTAGGATAGCATAATCGCTTAACAATTTTACTTATCACGTATGCTCCTGTTTTCACCACCTACAGCTGTTTTCTTGAGTTGCACTAATAAAACATCTTGAAGTACAGTTCTATGTTCTTTGACGCTTGCAAGTTGATCCCTTCTATGGTATTCTATTTATTTTTAAACTGATTTAATATAAAGTAATTTTATTTAAAATTGTATTCCGAATGCTTCTCAACAGTCACAGAACCATTTCTCAAACCTGGTATAATAGAATCACTTGTGAAACTTAAACAGAAACTTGCCTCTGTTCTGATTTAGAGGCATGGAGTGGAAGGGGGCAGAGAGACCACAGGAGTTTTAGATAAACGATTATGATTAAGAGCCCAGGAGTTAAGGAATTTTCATGGTGTGCTACACCAAATTATGAATGCCTAAAAATATACAAATTACTAAGCAAATTATAAAATTATCTAATTTATTATAACAATGTCTTCTTTTTCCTCTTATGGTTTCTATACTTCAATACCTAGTTATTTTAATACTGGTTCTGAAATGTTCTAATTCTTTGAATATGGTGCTTCATTTTTTTCTCTAGGATACATCTAGTAACACTTTTTGAAAATGATCGTCATTTTTCTCACCTTTCATCTTTAGAACGGGAGATGACTTTTCGAACTGAAATGGTTAGTTCCTTATAATAAATTAATTTGTAGTTTAAGAATTGTAAGACAATAAGGTAGCAATTTGTTAGGAACTGAAATGAATTTTTGTTGAACCTCACTGTTTCTCGAGCTATAACCTAGGCTTATTATGTAAATAGAAAATATTTCAGGATTCTTTTACTTACTTCATTACCCTACTTTTCTAATGCAGACTTCTTTTAAAAAAGGATTAGAATAGTTGGGGAAGAAGGAGAACAAAGATAACATTTAAGAAGTGATATAGGGGTAACCGAATGTTATTTGTCCTCACCACCATTCATCTCCAGAACTTTTTTATTATCCCAAACAGAAACTATACCCGTTAAACACCAACTCCCCATGCCCCTGTCCCCAGCCCCTTGTAACTTCTCATCTACTTTGTCTCTGCAGATTTGTCTAATTGCAGTACTTTAACCACTACTTTTTAAATCTCACCCTAATAATCCCCTTAATCCTTGAAAGAGTTGGATACATTAGCATTTGCATGACATTTAAATTCTTAGTATTTCTTAGGTATTATTTCCAAAGAGAGGATGTAAGATATTCTTAAACAAATTGTGTAGCTATGATGGAGTCTGGGCTTTGATGACAAATAACGAGATTCAGATAGCAGGTCTGTGCTTCGTTGTGTGATGGCTAAATCAGTTAACCTCTGATGATCAGTAATCTCATCTATTGTCTAGAAATAATGCCAGCTTTACAGGGTTTTATTGACTTTGAAGGGAGATAATGAATGAAGCACGTTAACACAGTCCCTGGCACAAACACAATAGATGTTATTAATAAAAATGCATTTGTATATTTCCTATCTCTCTAAATATAGACTTACACATATTAAATATTCTTTCATTGTACTACTGTCTTGTCCTTCTAAGCAGAAAGGAACAATCCTTATGTGAGCTCATAGTTTACCAATCAAAACTATGAGGAAATGCTCTTTCGGACATCAGCGCAAACAGAACTTTGATTTAGTAGCCACTCGCCTTGCTTAATCTGTTAATAACAAGGTAGTTGTATGAGGCGCAAATGAGAGTAGAGTTGAAGATTATTTTTAATGTTTTTGGGAGTATGTGTTACAAACAATGTGGCCCTTTATTTGTTTTTCGATTTTAGGAAGAAAAACAGGAAATTGATAAGGGAAGTAATGAAAACAACATGCTTTTGTTAATCTCTGAATTTTAAATAAACAGCACTTTCGCTGGCCTTATAAAGTCATTATTTCCTATACTGGAATAATACACAATAATACACTATGCTGAAATAATCCCCTTTACAGGACTGCATTTGTGTCATGAACAACAGTAGTCAATTGACATTAGCTAGTTTGCACATTGAGCAGAGCCATTAGATGGAGCTCGGAAGTCAGTTGCAAGCATGAAGTTCTGTCTCATTTTTGCTTGTGATCATTGTATGTTATTTCTTGGGAGGTGGAAAAAAAAGTAATCTGTATCTATATGCAAAGTTATGCGAGGACACGAAGGCATCTCTGTTTATGCCAGAATTTATCCGATCTTAACCTCTAGGCATCTCGAATATGACAGAAGCAGGCATTCTGGAATTAAAAATATATTGTATTCATGTTTTAAGCCATGGTCAGAAAATCTCCTTAAAACATTTAACCACCCTTCCAACTCTTTTTCAAACATACAGAACATGTGAAAGAATAGCAGAGTAGTAACTTGAAAAAGCATGCCTTTTTTTTTTTGAGCCCGAGAATGTGGTAGCAAGGAGAAATGAGGAAGTGCTACTATTGACATTTCCTTTTATTCAGAAGAAATTGTTCCAAAAATTTTCATATTTAATAATATCAACGATTTGTGCATTTTAAGGGACTTTATTATTCCTACTTCAAGACCATTATTGAAGCACCTTCATTTTTGAAAGGATTGTGGATGATTATGAATGACAGGCTCACTGAATATCCCCTTGTAATTAATACAGTGAAACGCTTCCATCTTTATCCAGAGGTGAGTACTATTTGGGGGGAGAATATTTGTAGGATAATCCTTTTTTTCAGATAAAAATAGTGAGTACAATAATGTTATAAAAAGGAGGGGACCTTTAAGGCTTATTGATTGTATGTGTCCTTATAGTTGAGCAAAATATAAAAAATTCCTCCTAAATTTTAAAGACTCCAGAAACTAGGCTTACATAAAGTCAAAGAAATGAACCTTAGTCTGGAAGTAATGATCAGTTTAATTAGAGAAGCCAAATGGGAAGGAGCCAAGATGTGCTCTAAATGGAGACCTTGTGAATGGGAGTACTGGTCTCATGAAGGAACACCGAAATTTATGAGCAGAACAGTGACCTGGGAATTACATTAATAGAGAAAGATTTATTTAGTCACATAGAGGTCTATAAATATCTTCCAATGCTTAGTCTAAAAGAGTATGGATTTTATGGTAGTCTGCAGATTCTAGAAATTGGAACAGTGACAACAAAAAATTAGTAAGTTCAATTTTTGAGCTGTTAAGATAAATGCTAATTTGATGTCATGGTGTGCACTACTTTCGAGTTATCTCAGAATCCAGCACATTTGTTAAAAGTTAGTGCTTCTTAGACCTTTCTTCATATTTTGTAGCTTTAAAAATTACTATGTTTTTCATTTTGAAATGTTGAAAATTAACAGAAACCTAGAGAAAATAAGCAAAGGTGTGATCAACGTGTGATCAACCACTAAGAATAAATTAATGTGACTCTTTTGTAATTTTTCAGATACATTTTTTTAAAGATTTTATTTACTTCTTCATGAGAGACACACACAGAGAGAGGGGCAGAAACACAGGCAGAGGGAGAGGCAGGCTCCACACAGGAAGCCCAACGTGGGACTTGATTCCGGATCTCCAGGATCAGGCCCTGGGCTGAAGGCAGCGCTAAACCACTGAGCCCCGGGATGCCTGATTGCTTCAGATACCTTAAAGCTCTATGAATAGAGTTGGGACGCCTGGGTGGCTCAGCGGTTGAGCATCTGCCTTTGGCTCAGGACGTGATCCCAGGGTCCTGCAATCGAGTCCCACATCAGGCTCCCTGTGAGGAACCTACTTCTCTCTCTGCCTATATCTCTGTCTTCTCTCTATGTCTCTCATGAATAAATCAATGAAATATTCTAATATATATATATATAGTTAGTGTCATCTTTGTTTTGCTTCCCAGTAACGTTTGTTCCTTTTCCATTCTCACAAGTATCATCATCAGGAATGTATTATGTGTGTATCCATCATTCCTTATTTTCAAGGATTGTTTTACGTGTTTTTGTAAATCCACATAAATGCTCTCATACCAAATAAAGCAGTCTAGAACTTTTTTCTCAACATTAAATTTTTGAACGCTATGTATGTGTGTATTTTTTTCTTTAACCATTTTATGAATTCCCAACATTATTTATACATTCCCCTCCTTGTGGATATTGTTTCCAGTTTTAAAATTATATAGTTCTAAAATAGATGTTCCAAATTTATCTTCCAAAATATATGTTCTTGTGTTTTCTAATTGTGTATATATGCAATATTTTTTGGGGGGATACTCTAAAAGCAGAATAGTTGTGTTGTAGAGTATATTTTGTCGACTTTATCAGATGTTGCTAAATTGCTCTCTGATGCAAATGTAGCAACTCATACTACTGTGGAGGAGTATTTACTTTTCCTCATATCCTAATTAGATTTCAGTTTATAAAACTTTTTGGTTTTGCTCTTCTAATGGGTGTGATATGCTATTTATTTTAATTTGTACTTCCCTTATTATTTTTGAGCTAAGAATATTTTAAATATATTCATGTTTAATATTCATTTGAATTGTTTCTTCTATCAAAAACCTGTATAAATCTTTATCACCACTTGGTAGTTGTTTTCTTATTTATTAGTTGGCAAAATTTACATATTTTGTAGAGTAATCCTGAGTAATATGTGCTGAATCTTCTTTCTGGCTACTTTTTAATCAGTTTTGTTGAGGTATAACTTATATGCAATAAAATACACCCATTTTGAGTGTACAGTTCTTTGAGTTATACATTTGACACGTGTAAAAAGCCACTGCTATTGAGTTATAAAACATTTTCATAATTCTGAGACGTTTCCATGTGCTCCTTTTTGGTAACTCTTCTTTCTCCCATTGAGTTGTCTCATCACAGGAGTGGTAAGATGGGACATCTTGCTTTGTTCCTGATCTTAGTGGGAAAGCTTCAAGTTTCTCATCATTAAGAATAACTTTAGCCATAGGTTTTCTATAGATATTCTTTATCAAGTTAAGGAAGTTCCCTCTATTCATGGTTTACTGATAGTTTTTTTTTTTAAAGATCTTGAGTAGGTGTTAAATTTTGTCAATGCTTTTTCTGTATCTGTTGATATGATCTTGTCATTTTTCTTCTTTAGCCTGTTAATATAATGGATTGTATTATTTGGTTTTCAAATTTTGAACCAGCTTTACATACCTTCAGTAAACCCTATTTGGTCAGGCTGCATAATTTTTATAGGCTGTTGGATTTGATTTGCTATTATTTTTTGAGAATCTATGTTCACAAAAGATATTATTTGTAGTTTTCTTGTATCTTTTTCTGGTTTGGTATTAGCGTAATGCTGGCCTCAACAAATGAGTTCATAAGTGTTCCCTCTGCTTTATCTTCTGGAAGAGATTCTAGAAAACTGGTATTCTTTCTTTGGTACAGTTCACTGCTGACCCCATCTGGGCCTGGGTATTATGATTTGGAAGGTTATTAAATATTGATTAAATTTATTTAGTAGAGCTAGTCCTATTCAGATTGTCTATTCTTGTTTGAATTTTGGCAAGATTGTGTATTTCAAGGAATTGGTTTGTCAAATTGTGAAATTTATGGGCAAAGAGCTGTTCATTATTCCTTTTTTAAATTTTTTTAATAATAAATTTATTTTTTATTGGTGTTCAATTTGCCAACATACAGAATAACACCCAGTGCTCATCCCATCAAGTACCCCCTTCAGTGCCCGTCACCCATTCACCCCACCCCCTGCCCTCCTCCCCTTCCACCACCCCCAGTTCATTTCCCAGAGTTAGGAGTCTTTTTTTTCTGTCTCCCCTTCTGATATTTCCTACCCCTTTTATTCTCCCTTCCCTTCTATTCCCTTTCACTACTATTTATATTCCCCAAATGAATGAGAACATATAATGTTTGTCCTTCTCCGATTGACTCCTTTCACTCAGCATAATACCCTCCAGTTCCATCCACGTTGAAGTAAATGGTGGGTATTTGTCATTACTAATGGCTGAGTAATATTCCATTATATACATAAACCACATCTTCTTTATCCATTCATCTTTCAATGGACACCGAGGCTCCTTCCACAGTTTGGCTATTGTGGACATTGCTGCTAGAAACATCGGGGTGAAGGTGTCCCGGCGTTTCATTGCATCTGTATCTTTGGGGTAAATCCCCAACAGTGCAATTGCTGGGTCGTAGGGCAGGTCTATTTTTAACTCTTTGAGGCACCTCCACACAGTTTTCCAGAGTGGCTGCACCAGTTCACATTCCCACCAACAGTGTAAGAGGCTTCCCTTTTCTCCGCATCCTCTCTGTTTAATGTCCCATGGAATCTGTAGTGATGTCCTGTCTTTCATTTCTATTACTATTCATGTCCTCTCTCTTTTTTATGTTACCTGGCTAGAGATTTATCAATTTTATTGATGTTCTGTTGTTAGATGCATACACATTAAGGATTATGACTTCGCGTAGAATTGACTCCTTTATTATTGTGTAAAACCACTCACTACCCCTGATAACTTTTCTTACTGTAGTCTGCTCTGTTTTGAATTAGTATAGTTACTCCTGCATTTTAAAATTAGTTTTAACATAGTATATCTTACTTCATTCATATACTTTTAATCTATAGGCATCTTATTTTTAAAGTTGGTTGTTTAATAAGGTTGTGATATCCACTATATTTGTTACTATTTTCTATTTGTTGCCTTTGCTCTTTTTACTATTTCGACTTCCATTTTTTCTATGCCTTTTGTGGTTTTAATTGAGCTTTTATATTATTGCATTTTATCTCATTTTTTAGGTTATCAGTTATAATTTTTTTTTACATTTTTGGTTGCCCTAGAGTTTATAATACGCATTTATGACTAATCCAAGACCACTTTCAAATAACATTAAACCACTTCCAGGCAGTATCTTATAATAACAAAATAATTGTAATTCCTTCCTCCCAACCCCTTAATGCTTTCTGTCATTCATGTCACCTATACATAAGCATACACACATTGATAATTATGCATAGTCGAATACATTGTTGCTGTTACTATTTTGAACAAAGTTTATATGTTAGATTAATAATAATAATGAAAAGAAAGTTTTAATTTTATCTTCAATTTTTTTTGATGCTCTTTTTTCTTTATGTAGATTGAAGTTTCTGATATGTATCTTTTTTTTTATCCCCTGTAAAGAATTTTTTTACAAAGTCCCTCAATTTTTCTGTCTGAAGCCTTTATTTCTGCTTCACTTTTAAAGGGTAATTTCACGTGCTGCTACAGATGTCTAAGTTTTTTGTTTCTTAGCATTTTAAATATAGCAGACCAGTTGTTGTTTCTTCTTCCTTCTTTTTTCTCCTCCTCCAACTCCTCCTCCTCCTCCTCCTCCTCCTCCTCCTTCTTCTTCAAGAGATTTTATTTATTTATTTATTTGAGAGAGAGAGAGAGAGCAAAAGAGCACAAGCAAGGAGAGCGGGAGGGAGAGGGAGAAGCAGGCTACCCACTGAGCAGGGAGCCAGATGTGGGGCTCTGTCCCAGGACCCTGGGATCATGACCTGAGCCAAAGACAAACGCTTAACTGTCCAGTTTCTTGTTTGAATGGTTTCTGAGTAATCAGATGTAATTCTTATCTTTACCAAGTAAGATGTTTTTTTTTTTCCTCTTCTGGCTTCTTTAAAAAATTTTCCTTAACTTTGATTTACTGTAGTTTGAACACAATATGCCTAGGTGTCATTTTTGGCATTTCTCA